TCATACAAATAAAAGTGACCTTGTAGCAAAATAAAAAGTATACATAGAAAAAATATGATGACGTCACCGTAATTAAGAACACTCGGATCAAGCATGGATAATTTAAACTCAAACATTTTGAGTTTTGAAATTGGTTTTTTTCACATGCAGTCCACTATGAAATACTATTGACCCCCAAAAATACATTTAATTCAGCCATAATCCCTAATTATGACACAGGGCAGCCCTTTATGACCAGGCCGATCCTATTAAGGTATTCGCAAATGATCATGCCTAATCGGGTTTGAACCTTGCTACAACCTGACCAATATGTAGCATAAAATATAAATAGATCGATGGTTTCGCGTATTTTGTGCTTATTTATGTGCTTTTATTTCTAAATAAAATGGTTAGGTCGTCTACACAAATGAAAAAAAATGTTCTTTATAAAGTCATTGATGGATGGATGCCTTTTTCAAAAGGAAAAGTTGTAAAAATTTAAATTAAGGTAGTAAGTTAATTGGGCCTGAATGAGATAAAAGAACAAATCTCCGAAAACCTATTTCGTATGATCACTGCACATCGTAGAAGGATAGACTATAAATTGAATTAGTTTGTAAACAGCTTAGGTGACAGGTGACGGAATTTGACTTTTGATGTTCATTCCCGACTATTGTTTTTGCTGGTAATTTCATCGCTGATGCTGCTGCAAGCTATAGATATGTTTGCATTTCAAGAAAACGGGCATGAAAATGATAAGGACTAGGAGGAAGTAAGTTGTTACTGCTGAATGTTGAATTTAGCATGATTTCAAAGAATATCTAACACGTTTGAAAAACTTTGAAAACGTTTTAGTAACGCGACTTGAGAAAGATAAAAATAGTAAATCATTCCTAATTTATAAGAGTGGATAGTTGTTGCACGTGTTCAAATCAATGTTCGTCGGACAATAAATTCAAGCCTGACATCTCATTCGTTACTCATAACGGACAGGGTTGAACCAATGCCCAATCTTATTACTAATTTTGTACTTTCAATAGAATTCGAGGGGGGGGGGGATAGAAGAATATAGGGATAAAACTATCCAAAAAAAATAAGGAGAATGTAAGTTTTAAATCGTCTATTTTGGGGTATGCAACCGATACTAAATGAACACTTATCTGAAATTATTTTTAGGAATTTTCCGAGGAAATTTGAACAAATAAGGAATCCTACAATAGTCAATGCTATTCCTTTTATATAAACTAGGTCTAACATATACCTACACCATAATCTTGTAAAAATGAATTTAAAAAAAAATGAATTAACATATGATTTGTATCAATATGATAAATTCCATACTCTTGGGTCATTTTACAAAAAGCGCATTTTTTTATAAATGTTTTAGCCTGATTAATGCCAGGTATATTACGTGTAATATAATAATGTTTTATAATAGATGAAGGTTGGTTTTGAATGCAAATCATTCGACTTGGCCGACTAACCTACATATCCATATTATTCGTCTACATTCGTAATCATTTAACATGTCATCAGTGGCAATTGTAATGTTTGTTAAAACCAAGTTTGTTTGGGTACTTCTTCTAAAGCAACAGATCATGCATATTAGCTGAAATACCACATCTGATATTGATGTTCCCATATGGCAATTTGTCTTGGGGGCGTAATAAAACTAAACATTTGAGAAAAAATCGCAAAAAACACAAATCAAAAATAAGAGAAAAAGTTATAGCTGTAAAACAAATTGATAGACTGAATTATATCCCAGAATGATATATATTATTCAGTGGTTCCCAAACTTTTTTTTTCGCGACTCCAATTTTCAGAAAAGCAAAGCCTAAAAATAATCGCGACCCCGCTACTATAACTGGGAACGTTCAGCAACCTCAAAAATCAGTACATCAGTTCAATTGCCTCAACGGTAAGTTGAGGTTGACCGTGAACATTGCCCCAAAAAATATATATAAACAAGTCTGGCAATGCGCCGGAAAACGGGAAAACCTCAGAATATTTGAAAACACATGGCATAATATGAAAACAATGGTGTAAAAATCTATTAATTCAGAATTATAACGGTTCTTTGGCGAAACAAAGACGAACTTTTAGTTCAGTAGATTATAAGAAGGTGTAAGATACTTCGTAAATATTAAAGTACATCAGTTCAATTGCCTCAACGGGAAGTTGAGGTTGACCGTGAACATTGCCCCAAAAATATATATAGACAAGTCTGGCAATGCGCCGGAAAACGGGAAAACCTCAGAATATTTGAAAACACATGGCATCATATGAAAACAATGGTGTTTAGTTTAGTAGATTATAAGAAGGTGTAAGATACTTCGTAAATATTAAGATTGTTCTAAATAAATATAAATTTAAAATCTTATTTAGCATATTTCAGAAGTGTATTTATTATTTTTAGTTTAATGGTAATATATTACAGATTGCTCCATTATTAATTCGAAAGTAAAACAGAACATGAAAGTAGGAAAGGAATTATTATGCTAGAATTTGTAGAACTTGTTGTGGTTTTGTGTTTGACTGCTCGGAACGCTTCGAAATTATGTATAAACGTCTGAATGCGATAATAATATTGCAATATGAAAATGTTCACTTTTATGTGGAGGCAATGTGGACAAAACACGTAGCCTACACGTAAACTTTAGACGGTGACCGTACATTTGAAATCACGTACATTTGAACCCATATGTATACTCGCGGGTTCAATCTATATGCGGGTGCTAAAACCCATTAGTTTGCGTTAGTATGGATTCAAATCTCCTCAAAACAAAAAAAATTTCCATAGGTGCAATAGTATGCAGGTGCAATTGCCGTGGGTTCAAATGTACGGGAACCATTTTAGACACGTGCGCGAATTAACTAAGCGCTTTCGCAACTGATCGAAACCCAAAGTCCAATTACTCGGCCAAGACACCCCCTGGCAACCAATACCATACTTGACAAACACCAAGTTGAAGGCCAATCGCCGAATAAATCAACTTTGTATATTCAATAACCAGCCGGCTACACTATCACAAAATAACAAACCAACATGATTTCTCCTAGCCTGGCCAAAAATTCGATTCGCGTACCAGCGGGTCAACCACTGGGACGTCACATGATCATAAAAACTATAGAAAGTAAAATATTTTTGGCACTCGTAACACTATTACTCAATACTCAATTCCATATACCGATACCTGCCGACCAGCTTGAAAGATTAAATACCACATGAAAGTTTTATTGATAAATTTTGGCGCCGTTTAGACAATAAATAGTCGAAATATTGGTGAAAATCCGAAGTTGAGGCACTTTCACGATACCTGCCGAGTGCCTAGACTAAGGGTTAATCCGGCACTGCTCACCACAGACTTCATAATGTGTTCTACAATGAACGATATCTGATTTTCAAAGCTATTTTGTTTTTCAGAACAACCTATTACCGTTCAGTGGAATGGGATATGAAGAAAACCTATTACCATCCAAGGAAATGGAATGTAAAAGGTGAGAACAACCCGCTAAATTTGTTAATTGACAGCGCTCAAGGAAATTCCAATTTTCCTATTGACCAGAAATTAGAGAACCGAATCTACAGTTGCTAGCTGGTTTTATATGTGTGTTAAGGCATTATTTACTTGGTGCTCCCGTAGTATGTGTACCAAAATGGCGCACAACCTTGAAGTAACGAATGCACATCTCGATAGATCTTGTGCTCATGAAAATACTCATGCAAAACGAAAACGCATAGAAAAATAAACTTAGAAATGTTAATATCGTGATAAATATATATATTTATATATTCATCTTGTCGGAGCTAGCTAAAGACAGACAATGTAGAACATGTATCACATGATTGACGTTTATATACACAGGATTCCTATCTCATTCTGCAGACGAAGATTTGGCAAATTTTGTTTGGATGAGAAGCTAAAGCAACTCCAAAAGAACTGTTTTTTGAGTATACATATGAACATTTCGTTGACTTGCACAATGCTGGTGCATGTTTCTTTTGCTTGTGTGTATTCTTAGCCTCTTCTCCGTGTAACGTTTTATTATGGAAATACATTCATTACTGCAACATTCGTTATTCAAATGTAAATTGCATAAATATCAAAAAAGAAGAGAATTTACATCATTACAATTCCCAGACAGAATATAATGAAAGACACTCACGTCCAGTGCCGACCAAAACAAATTTACCTTTACAACTTACAAATCTTAGTCACTTGTGTGCGCATGTTTGACAGTAATCAGGCGACCCCAGAAAATCTTCACGCGACCCCCTCAGGGGTCGCAATCCACAGTTTGGGAACCATTGTATTATATATAAATATTATGTAATTTGTTCAGTTCTTTTATTACTAGATATTGATTGCTTCACCTACAGTTGTGGGGATAACTGTAAGCCAGAGTTTGATGTTTCTCATAGATATGTATATGTTTGGTGATGTGAAATATATATTTGGTAATTTTGAAACAACAACGCCTTGTTTGAAGCAGAAACTCGAAACGTTAAACTTAAAATGTAACAAACATTATTAAGACTATACGCCTCAAGCTACGATAAAGAGGGATTCGCTACTGAACTAAGAAAAATGACGTAGGGCAAAAAATACAATTGAATCAAACAACACGCCCCGAGCTATGATATAAAATTACATTTATGTAGATAAGTACAGCTGTGTATTAGACGTTCCGTGCAATCCATCAATTGAGCTGAACTTTATTCGTTAAATGAAATTTCAGATTTTTCGTTGTAGTACAGTAAAAAATACGAATTTTTTTTTAATTCGTAGTGAAATCAGAGGAAAAATATGAGTTTCTTTGATAACTAATATTTTGTAAAGCACTTAAAATATGGAATGCTTCAGTTCAGGGAAATAACTATAGTATATAGCTGGAAAGTATTTTATCTTTTTAAAAATGCTGCAAAGATGATGGAGCGATAGTCTTTACCCTTTATAGAAGCTTCAGATCTTCATATGAAATGATTTACAAAAGATGATCTTCATAAATAATCAAAATCTTGTAGTTTATGGTTATTATATTCTCAAAATTTATTTAGCTACATCATAACAAGGTATTGATTTAGTGTTTTATAACCTTGAAATATGGATTCTAGAAACAATGCTATAAGACTGTTGTTTTTGCTGGTAATTTCAATGATAATATTGCTACAAGCTTTACATGAAGGAAATGCACGTTTAGGAAGTAAGTGGGGCTATTTTGGTGCCGTGATGTTTTAATTAAAAACATCTTTTGGAATATCATGTATGGGATTCGAAAATTTCAACAAATGTTTGACGAACACTTCGGCCATCCATTCAAATATTCTCCGAAATGGTATACAGTTACCAAAACAATGATTTGAAATTTATTATAAGTTCAGAAATGGTTGCAATTGATATACTATACTGCTCTGTTTACACTCGATTTCGTAGTCTAAGTATACCATATCATATATGCTGTAACTCATTCGAGAGAAAATATTCAATATTAAGAACATTGCCCAACTGACGTCTTCTTGTGGACAGTCCGAGAACGCAATATAAACTATTAATGAATTTTTATTCTCATTTTTTACAGGATTTAAAGAGCAGTTTGCAATGAAAGGATAATGAGGATATCCAAGAATAATGGGGTAAATATTTATATTTGTTTTTCTCATTTTTGGTTCATGTAATCGGAACACAGTGCACATTTGCTAAAAATATTGTTCTTTATTTCAGGCTTCTGGGTGAATTTCAAAATAAAGATGGAAACCTATAATATACAAACCTTTTTTGGAAGATGTCATATATACACATAATAAAAGCTGAAGCCAAATTTGAAAATATATTTTTCTATCAACATGGGGGACTGTCTAAAATTAGGCACTTAAGAATTAGGCATCTTTCCGAACACTTATGTCGTCAAAAAATAATGAGAGTAATAACTTAAAGATTATGAACTGATTATTTTATCGAGCAAAGTCTATAATGAGATTCAAACGTAAATTTAAATGCTTACACGCGCTCAAGCATCACAGAAATTCAGCAGCCCTGGAACTTCAAAAAAAAATAACGAAATCTGGAGGATCACCAGAAGGAGGGCCTCAAAAAATATGTATTAGACATATTAGTAATTCGATGTTCATATCTGAAGTACGAAGTCAGGGTTTAATAAGGAATGGCAAATTTGTGCGTACCATTGGAAAGAGAGACAAGGAACACATACTAAATATTCTCGTGAATCAAATAGCAATGCTGAGTGAAATATCGCGCTCTATAGAAATAAAATTAAAGACCACAATATTTTCTAGCGACAGCGACACGCTCTGTCAATAAATTATTTATATTATTCTTTTTTGTTACATAAGACGCATCGGGCTACAACACGCAACAGTTATCGGGTATACCAAACAAATTTTATCGTGACCACACTCGTCAGTAACATACATAAAAATACCGGGAAACATAGATTCCAACAAATGATGAGGCGTTGCGAAAGACTCAGTGAGTCATCCAGTCAGCGATACCTTATTGCTAAGTTTTGGCAGCAAATACAGCGAGGAAACATTTTTTTAAAAAGATCAACCTAAAATACACAATCATGAGAAGATCAATAGATTAGTGGGGAAAAGCATTGTGACTTTTTGTAGATATATGGCGAACTAGCGACATCCACTGAACGAGATATGACTCGGTTATTGCAAGCACAACAACATGTTGCTGACTAATATGACAAGACATAAGAAATGATGCTGCTACCCAACAATGAGGTACGTTATGAAAGCGGATGACAAACAATTAACTCATTGGCTCAATATAATTCTTGGAATAAGAAACATGTATGCATTTTGCTAATGTCACATGATGAGTAACACAGATAACAACAAAGTTGCTATAAAACAATGATTAATACAATTGCTTTACCCCAGCTCATTACGAAAGACGGTGGTTTGTTCATGATATGCTCACGACCGATTTTTCATAAAAGAATTTAAAGTGCGCTTTATGGTCCGTAAAATACGGTATAGCAAATTTACTCACCAATCCTCCTCCATCGTATTTGGCATGCCACCATATCTACAGCCTGCATCAACATCAGTTTCAAAACTGAGTACACGAACAATAGTCCAGCATTTGCTCTGAGACCCATGCCTCGAGTAGGTCAAACACTAATTGATATACTGTATATTAAAACAAAAAGAAAACCATACGTTTTACAAAATTTAGTTATTTCAATCCCATTCTATTGTTAGTTTTTTTACTATTAATCTATGAGTACGGTCTGTTTTAAAATATGTAGACATAGTGGAAAGTTTAAAACTTTTTTGTAAACAGCAGCAATTTACCTATTTATACTGCTAGGAAACATAACTCCTACACTGCACGATCACTGCATTACTACGCACAGCACGTGGTAGAAAGCAAAACAGCACAATGTAATTCCCTTATTGGTAGCTTGACAACTTCCTGTATAATTTCCTTTGCGACTTTATTATTTTTGTTATCCCGCATAAAACAGTAATCTGGGCCGGCCTTAGCGAAACAATTTGCGCGGGGCCTAGCTTGAGTATATGTATAAAGCAAAAGTTAATAATTCTTTAAAACCCTGTGGGTAGCGGTCTAGTGCTTAGTTTTGCATACAAATCACTTGCAAAAGCAAACTTGCAGGTTCAAACACGTTTGTTGTCATTTTTGATCTTTCAATAAGGCATCATCTTGGCAACGACTTTTGAAACTGAGTTTGTTTTGTTATGTATTGTAATTCCGGGTTCAGGCATAAAAGCATGTAATGTAGAATTGGTTGCATCTTGTGATAACAATATTAACGGACTGTGGTGTTCGGTGAATGCCCATTAGAACGATGCAATGTATGATTTATTGTCATTTGTGAGGACAATAAAGAAATCAGTCAGTTTACCGGATTTTTACGAATTGAACCGAAAAAAGTCCTAAAGTCAAAAATTTACAACAAGCTGTATTCAGCACTTGTGTTTGCCATTTCCTTTCGATATCAGAGTAGAATAAGTTTAGCGCTATTTGGTATGGATGTACATAATTTTAATATAGAAGTTCACATCAAAATCAGTCATTTTTGCAAAATTTAAATCAGCCTTGCGTGATTCTCTTTATTTGATAAATTTCTCCAATACTAGATATTGAATAGTGCTTCTCCGACTCGAAATATGCACTTTTGAGCAAATGCTAAATTATTGATCCTATAGATGAATTAGATTACATATTAGATTTCAAAGAATTGTTTTCGAACTTATATCCATATAAATTTTCAAAGATAAAAATCCAAACCCACCCTTTAAAACCATGCTGTACTCGTTTGATACGCAAAGCTAAATTTCAAGGAAAGCGCCCGAAAACTCCTTGTGATTAGTGCTGAATAGATCGAACAAAATAACTGCACTTTTGTTAGATTTTCAAAACTTTGCTTTGAACAAGGCACTGAACCAAGGATTTACAACGAGCAATTTCGTCCTCTTGTACTGGTTTTACCATTTTATGATCATACCGTGACCTCGTCAGATCTACTGAACGCATGCTTAAATATAAATTCTAGAACTTAAGATTTATTCTATTTTTATAATTTGTTTAGTTCAATTTCATTAGATATTATTAACTGAGTGTTTCCCAGTCTCGGAATATGAATTTTGGTGCCAATGTACGACTATTGTACTTGCTGGTTATTTCATTACTGATGCCGTCGAGAGCTGTAAATATGGTTGCATGCCAATAAAGACGACAGGGTATGTAGTGCTGAAATTGTACAATTGAAAGATATGTCAAATTCAGTTTGATTGTAACTAGTAAGGTGTGGGAAAAGGTTGGAAGATTTAAAAACGTTCCAGTAACGTGACAGGCTCGGAGTTGTGGCGCATAAGCGTTAGGAATACGCATGTTACATCAAATCCATTCCGCCATCAATTTCATGCATCTGTAAACAAAATAACTGGCTAACTAAATCCATACCTGACATAGACTGGTAACCAGAAGAGGGTTCATGGTTCGCCATAGATTCAGCCGTCTTGACGGTTTCCCTACTCCCGGGGATAAATATGTAAATCCTATTCAATACATAAAAAATATCAAGATCAAACGAAATAATTCCAAATGTACGAGTGTGTGGATAGTCAGGTTGTTGACAGAGTTCAAACCATTGTGAGTCGGACAATAAATTCCACCCTGCCATCTCAATCTTTACTTTTAATGGACAGTGTGAAAATATCGAATAATCTCATTACTAATTTTATACTTTCAGCCGGGTTCGAAGAACAATTGAAGATGAAAGAACATTGGGAGACATTTTTGAAAAATGATGAGGTGAATATAAATTTTAAATTATATATTTTGGTGTATGCAACCGGTACTGAATGTACATTTATCTACATTTGTTTTCAGGCATTCACCACGGAATTTTGAATAAACAAAAAATCCTACTATATCCAATGCTATTCATATTATATAAACTAGGTATAATATATATCTACATCATATCTTTCAAAAATAAAGCTGGAAAATAAAACTGAATTGTAATGAATGAACTTATGATTTGTTTCAATATGAGAAATTCAACACTCTTGAGTCAGTCAACAAAATGCGCATTTGTGCGAAGTGTTGATCAATGCTAGGTATATTACGTGAAATATCAGAATGTTTTATAACGGGTTGGAGTTAATTTGAATGCAAATCATTCCACGTGGGCGTCCAACCTACAAGTCCATACACTTGGCTACATTCGTGCTCATTAAATATTCATCCTTGACAATTTGGTCGTTAGTTAAAACTGAGTCTGTTTCGATACTTATTCAAAGAAAAGTCAAAGATCATACATATTAGTTGGAATATTCCAATCAATTAGATGGAGCACCTTGAGGGAAAAAACAAAATTGATGAAAAAGGAAGAATAAGTGGTAATCAAGAAACGAGAGAACCTATGCACTGGAAGCAATGCGTGTTGTAATAAAATATCCAAGATGTAATGCCCGCGCACTACCTTTCAATCTGAATAACTAATCCCACGGGAATGATGGAACGAATCAGTATAAGTAGACATAACTGCTCGTTATAAAGTCATTAATGGACGGCATGTTAAGGGCAGTGTTGTAAGAATCAATAAAACCTCATTCGTTATTTGAGTCTATGAGAATAAAGCCTCTCACATAACTCTAATTCTCATAATCACTTCACATCGTATAAAGCTATACAATAAAATGAACAAAACTTTGTTCACGAGCCTTGAGGTATTAATCTAGACGTGACAACTTCCATTGACGAATGATGCCTGCTTTTAATCATGCACAGAATTATCGCCCTGTATATTATACAAACTTAAATCTTGGGGGGGAAGCCTTCGGTTTTTTCACAAAAAAAGATTTCTATAAAAAAATATTCAAAATTTCTTAAAACTTTAGAGTCTAAAGTATCCATTGTCCACGATATAAACTATACAGCAATATTATTTATTATAAAATATGATCCGTGCCCAGTAGTGTTTGCTGGACATGATATAATTACTGCTACAAGTGAATGTTCTGCAAATGCTTTTTTTCAGTTTTTATCTATACCATTAAATATATTTTAAATCTCTAAATGTAAAAATATACCCAAAGGCACTCATCGCACACGTCAGCCAGAAGGATAAATAGAAAGATATTATTTTATTTTTTAGGCCCCGCACTCGGTCTATATGTCTCCACCGAAAGATGGGGAACAATTTAATTTAACTGCTAGAAGAACAACTTTTAGAGCTTTTTATAATATATAGTAAAACTTGCACTTTTTAAACGAAAGATTTATATATATAACTGTATAATGCAGTAAGCAACATTCCAATT